GCAGAGCGGTTCACTGCTGGAGTTCATCTGGCCATCAAGGGCAGTGGCTGGGGGTATGCACTGATGTTTGGGAACTGGTTGACGTGAAGTCTTTGTGGCTTGCTGCTTTGGCTGTGTCAGACTCCACAGGTCTTCCTGTTTTTTAACTGGCACAAAGGAAAATTTGCCTTCCTGGGGATTATGGTGCCACACTGGCCTTTCATTTAGAGGCTTATCTCCCTGAGGTTCAGAACCAACACAGAGGTACATCTTTACTAGTCAACTCCACAACTCCATTCAGCTCTCTCTGACTATAGGGCATGGTGGTCACATCTAAATGACACCTTGGAAATGGCCCTTGGCCTGGGACGACCACCAAAGGATGCCTAGGGATTGTTGTCCGGAGTGCTATTTGCCTTAGACAAAAAACGTGCCAGGAACCACACTAACAGCTCAGCAGCATAGATAACTGAGTTGCATTAAAAAGGAACGTTTGCTACCCCTGTTTCATGTGCTACAATAAACACAGTCACAGAAGCTATGGCTTTTAGCTTATAGGAGTTGTCTGGCACTGGAAAGAACAGGTTACTCAAAACTAGTATTTCAGTATTCTAGGTGCACCTGGAAGTTTCCACTGGTTTAAATAAACTAATTTAAACCCACAAATAAAGCTAAATTGGTGTAGTTTTTTGAGGGACTAAGCCTCAGGCATCAGGATTCTTACCTTTGATTAACTTTTCATACTGCTCTCTTGTTTCCAAAAAAATTTCCTCAAACTGGAAAAGGAGGGAGAAATAGTGTTACGTGGCTGTATTTTAACATTTTTCTTCTGTTAATGACTGTACGTAAGCACATGCAGAACGACCGAACCAAGTGAACGACCAAACTGGTCCGATAATGGACTGGACCTTCAATGCCACTGCTTGGCTGCGGGTGTCCAGCCAAAAGAATTTAGCCACTCTCTTGCAGCCATTTATCCTCCATGTGCAAGTTAAATTGTTCCTTTCTGAGGCCACTTGGGACACTGGAACACTGTACCAAGCATCAACTAACCTCCACGCCGGCTGCTGCCAGCAACCATCGTACAGGCTCCATTCTCCCCCTTCCATTACAGTAGGTAAGCCTGGGCTTCCCTGCCATGCTTCTGAGCTCCTGGTTCCCTGAAAAACATTAGGCAGAAACACGCATCTTGTCAATGCTTTTAGATCTCATCAATGCTTATCAATATCTAAAGGGTGGGTGTCAGGAAGATGGGGCCAGGCTCTTCTCAGTGGTGTCCAGTGACAGGACTAGGGGCAGTGGCCATAAACTGGAAAACAGAAGGTTCAACCTGAACATGAGGAAACCCTTCTTCACTGTGAGGTGACAGAGCCCTGGAACAGGCTGCCCAGAGAGGTGGTGGAGTCTCCTTCTCTGGGGATATTCAAAACCTGCCTAGACTTGTTCCTGTGTGATCTGCTCTAGATGAACCTGCCTTGGCAGGGGGATTGGACTAGATGACCTCCAGAGTTCCCTTCCAACCCCAGCCACTCTGTGATTCTGCGATTCATGAAACTGGTATAAGTGACATTATTTTGACGGGAGAGAAAGCCTTTTATTCTCATCATGCCTGCTGAAGTTTAAACTTCATCTGGTTTAAAACACAAAATGAGAGGTGGACCTGTGACACCACGCAGCCTGTGCTAGGAAAGGAAAGATGTGCAGATCTGTAAAGCCTTCCCCAGCGCTCCTAGGGAGGTTTGTTATGACTGTAAGCAAACAGACTTGTTTGAACAAGTGGTTTGAGCCCCGAGCTGCAGAGGGAACCTTATTGCATTTTAAGACAATTATACCAAACCACTGAAAATCCTACCACATCCTCAGGGAAGCTACTCACCCCCATTGCCATCATCCTCACTGAAAAGATGAAAAGAAGAAAAGGAAAATGTTTTACTGGTAGGCTGAAGTTTGTCTAGCTTTGTTTGCCAGGTGTTGGAGTGCATTTTGCAGCTTCCACTGCCATCCGCCTCTTTCCTCAAGCAGGGACAAATGAGTTGTTAATCTTTCCCTTATTCCATGAAACAGGCTGAGCTTCCTTGCCCGTCCTATTGAACATCTTCAGCCGGTTTCCTTGTTCCTCACCTCCCTGCACCATGAGGAACAGAGTGTGAGGCAGACACAGCACCTCTGTATTGAGCTGTTCATATGTGGGGACAACCAGCTGGACCGTTTGGGCTGACACTCGAATTTAACTGTTTGCAAATCCAGGCCTTAATTTCTTGCTGCTTCCTTGCACTAATTACTAAAAAAATGGGACTAGCATTCCCCATTCACAGAGATGTTAGCATCATACACTAATGATTGGGAGAGTAAAAGCTTGGGAGTATCCTAATCATGTCCTGATGGCTGAGAAACCAGAGCAGAGTGCCTGAATAAAAAAAAATAAAATACTTTTACAGATAACCCCAGTTTTCTCACAGCTAAAAGCCGAAGCTGCAACACTACCTCCAACACACTTGGCATCCAGATGACATTTCCCACTGGAATCAGGTTCAGTGCACTCTAGTGATGTGCTTTCAAGTCACAGTGCTTTGTAAATTTAATTAAAATAAAGAACATTTGGAACGGATTTTGGCAAAATTTGATTTTCAAGAACAACAAGATTGAGAGTTTTCCCTTGAGCAATTCTGTTAAGAACCAAGTCATGTTACTACAATAAATAGGGACATCTTGGGTAATTTAAACAATGTGATCCAAGTACACATAAAGGAAAAAATTATCACCTCCAGTTTTAAAGTGCAAACAGCTGTTGCTAATTGCAGTGTTTTGCCTCGAAGACAGTGGTTTTATTAGTTTCTGCACGTTGTCTGACTGGCTTTCACTGTAGGGCAGTGCAGCTTATTTTTGTAGTTCACAACAGCCAACTAGTGCCTCTTTCACTGTCACACTTCTCACATACATTACACCCGTATCATTTCAACACATATCGCCCCAACCTGTGATGCGCAGGCACTTACAGCAAGTAAGACTTCCTTTAGCTAAAAAAGCTAAAGACTGCAAGACTAAGGATATGAAACTTAATTCTCTTGGAAAATTTCTCTATTGTCTGCAGAACAAGAGCAGAGGGAATGAAAAGCCTTAGGCATCATTTTATCATTTTTACATAAATGAGAAATTCTATATGGCATTAAGTTATGTGAGAAGAATGATAACAAATAGAGAATGAAAACCTGTCAACAGGTTCTTTTAGTTTTTTTAATTAAGAGTAACTCTGTCAGCTATAAGTGAATTTTAATTCTAACATGCTGAACCCTGCTACTCTACTCCCTTCTCCTGAGGAAGGAACTCCATATTGCACATGTGTAGTAACAACCCACGAAGATGAAAAGGCTCGAGAAGATTTATCAGACATGTTGTTTCTAAATCCTGATCTGGAACGATTTTTGGCAGGTCCTCATATTATCTAAACAGTAACCAGGCTAACAGGTTATTCAATAACTATTGTGAAGGAAGTAGTGGGGGCTTCACCACCCAGTCCAAAGCTGAGTGCACAAGCAGATGAATTAATTGCATTAACAAAGGCCTATCAGCAGGCCAAAGAAAAGACTAAATATTTATGCTGATTTTCAATATGCATTTGGAGTATGCCACGCTACTCTTCAAGGCCAGGCTGGATGAGGCTTTGAGCAACCAGGTCTAGTGGAAGGTGTCCCTGCCCATGGCAGGGGGGTTGGAACTAGATGATCTTTAAGGTCCCTTCCAACCCAAACCATTCTGTGATTCCATGATTCTACTGGGCAATTACTGCATGGGTTTATAATTTCTAGTGGAAGTAAAATATCAGAATTATTGAGCTGTTAAGAGCTATACAATTGCTAGAGAAACTTGCTATCATTCACCAGCCAGCCCGTAACAGCAGAAGGGCAGAAGAAGAGATAAAAAATAGTCTAACGTATATTGCCGCTGCAGCCTCAGCGCAACGATCATACAAACCACCGGGCTTGTAAGCAGTCCAACGGTCCGACCTGGTGTTGCTTGCTCCTGAAAAGATATGTTTGACTGCTCCTGTGGAAGAAAGTCACTCTTGGAAAAGGCGTGAAGTGATCAAAGACTCCCAGGGAATATGGAAAACCTTCATATTTTACCTAAGCAGTACCATCCAGGGCATTTTGGGACTGCTGCACTAGCCCAGACACTGCTCAAGAATTGGTTTCACACCAGGAATTTATGCCACAGCCAAATAAGTAACTGTGTCTTGCATGTACTGCCTTTAACCTTAGTATTTAGCAAAGATCTCCAAAAAAAAGTCTATATAAAGATGCTTTTGCTGCTTTTGTCTAAACTCCATATTTCCATCCCATTTTCTAGTGAGCCTTAACAAAATGCCTGTCCTGGATTTCTCTGAGGATGCTTCGCAGTGAATTGTTTAAGAGAAGACACAGCATTATCCACATTCAGCAGCAAGTGCCCTTTAGCCCCAGAGCTGGGAGCAGAGTCCAGCATAACAAATGGACCAGCTTTCCTGCTCAGACCCAGATGAACCTGCCCCGGTGCTGGAGCCTTGCACTGCATTCTCCCACCCACCTTTGCCCTCCCATACCTTCCCTCCTCAGCAATTTCACACCAGCCTTGCTCAGCTCTAAACTGTACCACAGGATCCATTTCCTGGTTAAAAAGTGCCTTTCTCTTCCTTTCTCTCTCCTGTAGCTTGCAGCCAGGAAGTAAATATCAAGCCAGGCTTAGTATACCTGGCACATGAACTAAAGACAGCAGAGAATTTACATTACCCCAACAGAAGCCCTAGTAAGCTTGGAAGTAGTTTCACCATAAATAGTCACCCAAACACTTTAAGAAAAAGGAAATTGGAAGTTAGTACTTACCTCTTGACCTTAACACAGCCTCCACCCAGCACAGGCGGGTTCCCAGCGGTGTTTAAGCTTTGGAGCTCGGGGGAGTTCCCAGCCATACCCAATTAGAGAGAAAATCTCCCACTGCTAGTAAGCTGGCACTACCCAGCTTAAAGACGTAGGTGTCTGGAAATTGCCATCCAAGGCACAGACTGTCTTTTTCAGTCTGCTGATTCGACTGTACCATGTGGTGTAGCCCCATACTCTCTATTGTAGCCATCCATTCAAACTGTTCTTTTGGAATTATTGGGGCATTTTACCCAAAACCAAGGTTGAGGCACTTTAAAACACTGACAAAATTATAGATTTTTCTGGGTCATATTTAGGGTAACAGTAACCATTTAAAACCACTGAAGTTTCTAGGCTTATTTCACTGTTATTTAACAGTAACCCAGGCTTTCATTTTCAGTGCTGTATGGCAGAGAAAAGATACCCAAAGTATGGGTTAACAATGCTCAATTACTTTGAAATACAGTTTGGCAGTATCAAACTTACTCAGTGATAACTTGCTGTAAAAAAATAATGAGCAGCTTATGTCACAACTCACCCCAGGTCTTAAGGCAATAGCATTACTTTTGGAAATTGAGTGTCCGTGGCCAATACTCAGTTAGAGATGAAATAAACTATGATTTTCCTACCCTGTTTCCATGAAAAGCAACTGGCTTGGTTTTGCTATCTACATTTCAGGTGAAAATACCACACCTGAACGTGGATGTGAACAGACACAAGGATGGTGAAGCAGATGGGAAATGGGATTTGGGTGCCACAGGTCAGATTCTCACCTCTAGCACAGACCCACATATGATGCTGGGCATCACTTTACACCCCTGCAGCAGATGTCAGTACAGCTAATCTGAAGATCTGTTCACAGAACCCATGCTGGTATCAAGATTGTAGTTACAAGTCTAAAACCACAGATTTACTAACACAGCACCTCAAGACGGGGAATCTCAGGACAAAAATCTCTAGGTAACTACCTTGAGGAGATCCCCCCAAAAGCTGCTACTTTCTTTTTTCCTCACAGTTGGAGTGCTGATAAGGTTTTTCTGCCTAGCAATTGCTGGCAGTCTCTTCTGGAGGATGCAGTTCCACTACAGGCTTCTTGGAAATTTGTAATTTATGTGCTTCAGAGGTTGATGGTGTCAGCAAAAAACAACTGTATGGTGCTTCTTTCCACTTTGCCTAATTCTAACTCTCTCTCAGGTTCATCATCAAGTGAAGAAGGCACGGCATTAAATACACGCTTCTATATTGTTTCTGTGTCAAACCTGGTTACCACCCCCA